ATTCGCAATCGGGTTTAACTCGTGGACCGGCTAATAATATTTGGGCTATGAAACTTGTAGTAACAGAGGGGGAATTGCAAACTCCTAATACCTATATAGTGGTGCAATGTAAGGCGGTGTATCGATCGATGAGTAATGGGTCAATTAATTCATGTGTGTTTATTATTACAGGTGATATGCGATGATACAAGTCAAGAAGCGATTCGATGAATAATACGTGCGTGGTACGGGGTTCGACGTCACTAAGTACCAAAATCGTGAATAAAGCTTGCAATAAGGGTTTCAATATTTGAAGAAAAATGGGTTACAACACACCTATTAATTCAACACACTGAGAAAACATGATCCCTTCAGGTGCTTTACGTATTCATTCCATCCAAGTTGTGTTGCATCCCTATTTCTTCAATTCTTGAAACACTCATTGCCAGCTTTCTTCAAAGAATCAGTAGATAGTGCTTGGTTGATGAGTTTGTCAGAGTATTTGAATGGTTTGTGTCACAGATTCCACCGCTTTCAAATGAACAAGTATTGGAGTAATTTTTGGGAAGATTAGCGTTAGAGTTTCGCAATCAAGTTTAATTCATGGACCAACTAATAATATTCGGGATATTAAACTTCTAGTAACAGATGGGAAATTGTAAACTCCCAGTACCTATATAGCGGTGCACGTTAATGCGGTGTCTCGATCGATGGGAAATGATTGGATTAATTCATGTATGTTCACTATTGCATGAAGTTCAACGTCATTATATATCTATACTGTGAATAAAAGCTTGCAATAAGGGTTTCAATGTTTGAAGAAAAAGGGTTGCAACACACCTATTCCTTCAACCCACTTAGAAAACATGATCCCTTCAGGCACTTCACCTTTTCATTGTATCCAAGTTACGTTGCAACCCTATTGCTTCAATTCATGAAACCCTCACTGCCAGCTTTATTCACAGAATTAGTAGACCGTGTTTGGTGGATTAGTTCGTCGAATTATTTGAAGGGTTGGTGGCAAAGATTGCACCGCTTTCAAATGAAACAGTTTTGGAGTAATTTTTGGGAAGGTTGGGATTACATATTCGCAATCGGGTTTAACTCGTGGACCAGCTAATAATATTTGGGCTATGAAACTTGTAGTAACAGAGGGGGAATAGTAAACTCCTAATACCTATATAGTGGTGCAACGTTAGGCGGTGTCTCGATCGATGAGAAATGGGTCGATTAATTCATGTGTGTTCATTATTGCAGGTGATATGCGATGATACAAGTCAAGAAGCGGTTCGACGAATAATAGGCGCGTGATATAGGGTTCGACATCATTATTTACCAGAACTGTGAATAAAGCTTGCAAGAAGTGTTTCAATATTTGAAGAAAAAAGGGTTACAACACACCTATTGCTTCAACCCACTTAGAAAACATGATACCAACAGGAGCTTTACATATTCATTGCATTCATGTTGTGTTGCACCCGTATTGCTTCAATTCTTGAAACCCTCAATGCTAGTTTTCTTTACAGAATCTGTAGATAGTGTTTGGTTAATGAGCTCGTCGGACTATTTGAAGGGTGGGGGCACAGATTCCACCGCTTTCCAACGACAAGTATTGCAGTAAATTTTGGAAAGGTTATGGTTAGACATACGCAATCGAGTTTAAGTCATGAACCGGCTAATAATATTCGGGATATGACACTTGTAGTAACAGAGGAGAAATTGTAAACACCCAATACCTATATAGATGTGCACGTTAATGCAGTGTCTCGATCGATGGGAAATTGTTGGATTAATTCATGTATGTTCACTACTCAATGAAGTTCAACGTCATTATATACTCGTACTGTGAATAAAAGCTTGCAATAAGGGTTCTAATGTTTGAAGAAAAAGGTTTGCAACACACTTATTCCTTCAACCCACTGAGAAAACATGATCCCTTCAGGCACTTTACCTTTTCATTGCATCCAAGTTATGTTGCAACCCTATTGCTTCAATTCATGAAACCCTCAATGCCAGCTTTCTTTACAGAATCAATGGAAAGGTTAGGGTTAGACATACGCAATCGAATTTAAGTCATGGACCGACTAATAATATTCGGGATATGACACTTGCAGTAACAGAGGAGAAATTGTAAACACCCAATACCTATATAGATGTGCACGTTAATGCAGTGTCTCGATCGATGGGAAATTATTGGATTAATTCATGTATGTTCACTACTCAATGAGGTTCAACGTCATTATATACCCGTACTGTGAATAAAAGCTTGCAATAAGGGTTCCAATGTTTGAAGAAAAAGGTTTGCAACACACTTATTCCTTCAACCCACTGAGAAAACATGATCCCTTCAGGCACTTTACCTTTTCATTGCATCCAAGTTATGTTGCAACCCTATTGCTTCAATTCATGAAACCCTCAATGCCAGCTTTCTTTACAGAATCAGTAGATAGTGTTTGGTTAATGAGCTCGTCGGACTATTTGAAGGGTTGGGGGCACAGATTCCACCGCTTTCAAACGACTGGTATTGCAGTAAATTTTGGAAAGGTTAAGGTTAGACATACGCAATCGAGTTTAAGTCATGGACCGACTAATAATATTCGGGATATGAAACTTGTAGTAACATAGGAGAAATTGTAAACACCCAATACCTATATAGATGTGCACGTTAATGCAGTGTCTCGATCGATGGGAAATTGTTGGATTAATTCATGTATGTTCACTACTCAATGAGGTTCAACATCATTATATACCCGTACTGTGAATAAAAGCTTGCAATAAGGGTTTCAATGTTTGAAGAAAAAGGTTTGCAACACACTTATTCCTTCAACCCACTGAGAAAACATGATCCCTTCAGGCACTTTACCTTTTCATTGCATCCAAGTTATGTTGCAACCATATTTCTTCAATTCATGAAACCCTCACTGCCAGCTTTCTTCAAAGAATCAGTAGATCGTGTTTGGTGGATTAGTTCATCGGAGTATTTGAAGGGTTGGTGGCAAAGAATCCGCCGCTTTCAAATCAACAAGTTTTGGAGTAATTTTTAGGAAGGTTGGGATTATATACTCCCAATCGGGTTTAACTCGTGGACCGACTAATAATATTCGGGCTATGAAACTTGTAGTAACAGAGGGGGAATTGCAAACTCCTATTACCTATATAGTGGTGCAACGTAAGGCGGTGTCTCGATCGATGAGAAATGGGTCGATTTTCATGTGTGTTTATTATTGTAGCTGATATGCGATGATACAAGTCGAGAAGCGGTTTGATGAATAATAGGTGCGTGGTATGGGGTTCGACGACATTATTTATCAGAACCATGAATAAAGCTTGCAATAAGGGTTTCAATATTTAAAGAATAAAAGGTTACAACACACCTATTGCTTAGAAAACATGATCCCTTCAGGTGTTTTACGTATTCATTTCATCCAACTTGTGCTGCATCCCTATTTCTTCAATTCTTGAAAGACTCATTGCCAGCTTTCTTCACAGAATCAGTAGATAGTGTTTGGTTGATGAGTTCGTCAGAGTATTTGAAGGGTTTGTGTCATAAATTCTACCTCTTTCAAATAAACACGTATTGGAGTAATTTTTGGAAAGGTTGGGGTTAGAAATTTGTCACCGATGACTACCACTACAGGAGGAGATGAATCACATCACATGGCTTTCTTTATGTTGTACAGTTCACCGATGACTACCACACTTCTCGAGTCTAAGAGTTGATGTGTCTGGGGATTCCATCCCACAATTGCAACCAATGAACACAACCCAACTATTAGGGAAGCAACATGTCCATTACGGTGAGAATTGAGAAATAGTGTATTTTGGGTGAATCAGAATTTTCTATTCTTCTGTTACAAACAAACTCGACTGAACTAACTGCTGCAACCAATAGTGTGCTAATTGCTAAAGCACTCATGGTGTATATCTCTAACAGACAGCAATCATAGATCACAAAAAATCAATCGATTTTCAAACAAACTAAGGATGGTATTAGTACCTGCTCCAAACATGCTGAATGCATAAGTAGTTACACCAGTTTAAGTAAATTCTCAAGGGACTTAACAAATATTTTCTGCATAGTCCCTTCAAATTTTAGGAAACAAAGTGTATGTGTCAGTGAGAGAGAGGTGTCTAGTAGTCTTTTTCAAGAAGTGATAAAATGTAATTAAACAACTAGAATTTTAAACATTAAAACACAGTGTGTAATTGAAACTCTATGCGAGTAAGGTAATTGACAAGAACACCAACGCATCAAACAACTTTCAATAATAATACAAGATCAAATTAATAAGTAAGGTAACAGAGAATCACAATTGTGAAAAATACCAGTAAATTTATGCAGTCCTTTGGTGTGTGCATGATCCGAAAAAAATGCTCACATCAATAAAGGTGTTCCCTAAACTTGTTATGGAATGTAATAATGTTTATGGCTTCTCTTTGTTGTTCTTCTCTTTGGACATACATGTTGTTCCTGGTTGCTTTTAAGTTTTATTTTATTTTTTTCAGGATTTTTTATATGCCTCTAGTTGGTAATCACAAAAAGAAGGCAGTATTGCAGGATTGGTATATAAATTTATGTCATGTAGCTTCTAGTTGCCTTATACATGTTGCCTCTAATTGCTTATACATGTTGCCTCTAGTTGCTTATAAATTTATGTCATCTTATTGCAGGATTGGTCAGAAAAATTTAAAAACAAAAAAAAGAGCTAGAGAGAAAAAAAATGAAGGCTGTTTGATCTAAAGATCATGACAACACTGCATTAAACAGCAGCCCGTGAACTATTTAATAAAATGACTGTGAGGCAAAGTTCGTGCAATAAATTGAATACCAATCCTGCAATAAGAAAAGAAGCTACATGACATAAATTTATCAAAGTCAGCCTTGAGAGACCATGCAGCAAAATTTTAACATGCCAATCAAGCACCACACAGTCACAGACAGATAAAAAATACCAGTATGCACGACCCAAGTATTCCAAGTAGAACTTCTTATCTTATATAACCACACTATAAAAGCATACCTTAATGACAGACATCAAACCAATCTTGAATTGTAAAACTCCTCTGCCTTCACTTTAGGGTCCAAATTTTGAGAATATGAATAGGTAACTAGAAATTTTAAATGATCAAATTAAAGTATATATTGGCATTCTCAAACAAAAATGGTTGAATTAAAAGGACTTATAAGAGCTGACAAATTTCTAAGAGTTATTATGAAGGTTTAGGTGTTCAGTCATTTTGGTAAACACGACAAAGATATATGTTTTGGCGGAATACAGTTTATGCAGTATGTTGGTGTGGTTTATTGGAATGGACAGAAATGCTTGCATCTTTATTCTTTAAGTGTGTCCCCTTAAACACAAGCAAACCAAATCCTTAATGTCAAGGAAAATCTTAGTTTCCCCCCCAAAAAAAGCCTAGTTTGAATTTATTTTCAATTTCAAAAAAATTTATATTGAATCAACCAAGAAAGAAGGTAATTTTTTTTATTTCCCTCCTCTTTTTTCTCGTTTAGCTGATATATACGTCCAGTAAGTTAACAATAGTTTCAACGTCAAATAACCCACCCTACGTATCACCAAAAAAAAATGTTGGAATGAAAATCAACTAAATTAAGAAAAATACATAAGGAAAATGATGCACGTAGTGAAGAACATACATATTCTAGAGACATTAGGATCATCATCCTGAATTTCATCCGCAACTCTTAAAATTTCATCGATATCCCTATTTTTTATAATGATATATACCGAACAAGGAGCGATATCGACGTGATCACCACAACCACATAAATTTAAACAATGCGACTTAGAAAACAATCACAGTGACAGGCACCCAATTAGAAAATAAAACAGAATTTACGGAAAAAGTAAAAGGGCAAATCAAAGCACATGCTAATAAGCAACAAAGAAATCAGATACTTCAGTGGCGTATTAACGCTTCTATGAAGATTTTTGAAAGAACAACATAAAAAAGAACGAAGAAAATGAGGATTTACCTGAGATTAGGAAAATGGAAGAGGAGGCTAGGGTTACCGGCGGCGGCGTCTCTCTCTCAACTCGCAAAGAAGACCGTTAGTATTGAACCCTACTTATTGAAATTTATCTTTTGAAATGACAATTCTATCCACCAAATAAATGATAAGAAAAACTATAAACAAAATAAAATAAAGAAAATAAATTTTTAAAACAATATATTTACAATATAATTTTTTTAATGTTTTGATGAATTATTATTTTTTACTAATAAAAATTCATTTTTTTTAATTATAAAATTATTATAAAAAATTTCAAACATATTTTTTAATAAAAAGGTGTCTTTTTAAAAAAACAAAATACTAACCAACCCTATAAAATATTCTATTCCGTCCATTGCTTAAAATTTTTAGAAGTTTAGACTTATAGAAAAAAAATATGTATTGACAACAAATTTAATATCATGATAAAAAAATAAAATATGCGTATTACTAAAAAACAAAAATATATGCGAAAAAATATTGTAAGAAAATTAACTTTTGGTAAGTGGAATAACTTCTCGTGGAAACCCGTACTATTACGAATTGGTTTAGGTAAAAATATACATCGAAAATTTGAAAATAAAGTTATATTTTATATTTTTGTATTAATTCTTATTGATGTTAATAGTTTTACAACTATGATTGAAAATTGAGGGAGGATTAACTTATAATTACTATCAACTGTTTTTATTTATATCTGTAATTAATAAATTGGAATTGAAAGATATAAGTAAAAAGACTCACATTATTAATAAATTATAATCAAGAAATGTAAGTGAAATTAACTACTCGTGAGGAACACGAAATTTGCACCAATTTAAGTATATCTTCCTCTTAAAAATAATATTTGAATTATTTTCATACATGCTTAAAATAATATAATTATTTTAAGATTTTATTTTATTAGCCGGAATTATAATAGATTAAATGGACAAATTAATAACACTAAAAATAATTCAAATAATTAAGATAAAAAATTAAATTTACTTTAATCTAATTAAGTTTATGTGAGTTCCTAGCTATAAAGCAAACAACATTTGAAAATAAAATAAAATTAATTTAATTCTCTTAATATAATTGTAAAAAATATGGCACTTTTCATTCATGGTAATTCTTTCTCAACTGAGATATATTTATATACAAAGACGTAACAACATAACAACCTATTTGCTAGTAGGGGTGTTAACGAGCAGAGCCAAACTTTGATCTTAAAAAATTAAGCATGTGTTTAAATGTGTCAGTCTGACCAATCATGCTACCTGTTGTAAATATAATTATCTGCTTGTGGTCGGACTTATTTATAAAAAATAAAAGTCTGGTTTAACATGTTTATAAAAAATAAAATGACAAAAATTTATCCAAACTGAATATACAATCAACAACACCAGTAATTCCATAAATATTCAAAAATTCAATGTATATCCAAACATCATAATATAGAACAAAATCATTCAAAAAGTCTGTTTAACCAATAAAATAAGGTGAAATGGATTGAGGAGAAATAAAAGGCTATTACAAGTAGTGTAACAAATATAAAATAAAAGTAAAAAATAATATAATAGGCAAGTCTGAGAAGCTCTAACGCTGAGCTTTTGAATTTGAGCCTAGAGCCTTTTTATTAAACGAACTTTTATACAAGTTCAAGCCTAGTGCCAACAATTAATTTTAGACATGTAAGTTCAGGCATTCACGAGCCGAGTCAGAGGCCCCTGGTTCATTTAACACCCATATTTGCTATGAAACAAATTCCTTAAAGCATTCCTAAAACAACTCAAAAGACTTTCCTGACTTTATCTAATATGCAACAGAATTTCAAATTTAAACTTTCGAATTCAGACTTTTAGATTTAACACTTCCCTTCAAGTTGGTGCATGTATATCTAACATGCCTAACTTCCAAATTATATCCCCAAGTGCCTTTCCATAAATTGCTTTGGTTAAACCATCTGTCAGCTGATCTTCTGATTTGATATAGGGAGTATTAATAATTTATAAATCCAGCTTCTCTTTTATGAAATGTCTATCCACTTCAACATATTTGGTTATATCAAGTTGAACCGGATTATGTGCAATCTCAATACTATCACAATAGAGATTCATAAGCTGAAAATTTCCTAACTTTAGGTCTCTTAGGACATTTTTAATCCATAACAGTTCACAAATGCCATGTGTCATACCTCTAAACTTAGCTTCAGCACTTGATATGGCCACCACATTCTGCTTTTTGCTCCTCTATGTGAGTAGATTTCCATCAACAAACATGAGATACCCAGAAGTGGGTTGTCTTGTGGTTTGGTCTCCAGCTTAATCAGAGTCAGTGTATCCTTCTATGCTCATTTTTAGAAAATAGAAGACCTCTGTCAGGTGACCCTTTTAAGTATCTCAGAATTCTAATGACAGCTTTCATATGATTTCATTAAGAGAATGCATAAATATGCTCACCACTCCTACTGCATAAGCAATATCAGGTCTTGTATGCGATAGATAAATAACTCTCCCCACTAGTCTATGGTGTCTGCTAACATCTGTTCCAATCTGATTCGGAAAGATGCCGAGCTTGTGGTTCATGAAATTGGTGTATTAGCCAGTTTGCAGGCTAACATTTTAGTATCAGATAGCAGATCCAAAATGTACTTTATTTGAGGTAACACAATCCATTGTTTAGACCTTGCAACCTCGATTCTCAAGAAATATTTCAGCTGGCCCAGACCTTTCATTTCAAACTCAATGGATATGTGTTGTTCAAGTGACCTCATCTCGCGTGCATCATCTCTAGTGAAGACCATATCATCTATATAGACTATGAGATTGGTTATTTTTCCTTCCATATGTTTAAAGAATAAAATGTGATATGCATTACTCAGTGTATACCCAAATTTCTTCATTGCTAGATTAAACCTCCCAACCATGCCCTTGGTGTCTGTTTAAGACTATACAGAGCTTTTTTTAACTTGCAAACTACATTTTCCTTTGAAGATGAAATCTTTACTCAGGGTGGCACATCCATATATAGCTTCTCTTCCAAATCTCAATTCCAAAAAGTATTTTTGACATCAGATTACTTTAATGACCAATCTCTATTTGCTGCCAAGGAAATCAGAATCTGGATTGTATTAAGTTTGGCAACAGGAGAAAATGTCTCTTGATAATCTATACCATATTTCTGAGGATAACCTTTAGCCACCAATCTTGCGTTAAATATGTCAATACTCTCATCATCCCTTAGTTTCACATTGAACACTCATTTGCAGCTAATTGTTGTCTTGTCATTTGGTGAAGAAACTAGTTCCCAGGTGTTGCTGCTTTGGAGTGCTTCGTTTTTACATTCATGGTAGCTTTTCACTTCGGATCATCCAATGCTTTCTACACTCTATTCGGAATACATACACTAGATAATTGATTAGCACTTAGAGCACATGATTCATATAGGTTTTGAGTAGATACATAGCTGCTAATCAGGTATTTGGTTTTTACTTTAGGATTTGATTCATATAAATGTTTAGGCATGCCCTTAGTTGGACGAAGAGATCTTTTGACTCGTGTGGGGGATTTTGAGATACAATAGGTATTGATAAATCAGTTTGTATGTCATTGACCTATTCAATGTGCCTTTTAGGGATGTCCAAAGGTGAGACCTCAAGTATGTAAGTTAGACCTGATGTTCTAAGAAAAGGAAAAGTACCTGTGAGACTAGAAAATGAGCTATGAGCAGACATTGAAGGAGTGAAAGGTGCAATAGGGGTAATCTGGTCAAAAAGAGATTTTCGTTTCTCCAAACTGATGTAGGACATGCTCCCCCAAGGAAGAATAAACTAAGTCTCCCTCTGAGTAGTATTGTCCAGATTTATGGAATTTTATGAGATATAGGATCAAAACACGGATACCCCTTTTGAGAATTAGAATAGCCAACAAAGATACACTTTTTTTACACAAGGATCAAACTTGGACCGAAGAGGCTTGGGAAGATGAACATAAGTGGCGTAGCCAAAGACTTGGGGTTCAAGGTTGGTGACATGAGGAAGAGTTAGGGTTAGGGTTATCCATGGGGGAAAAGGAAAAATAGGGTTACGAAAGATAAAGTTGTGGAAAAAGAAGTGAAAAAAACAATGTGGGATACAAATGAGGACGTCCCAGGATCATAACATACTCGATACTATGTCAAAACTTTCGTACAAGTAATATGACGATTTTCATTCACGGTAATTATTCCTCAACTGAGGTATATTTATATACAAAGACATAACAACCTAACGACCTATTTGCTAGGAAACAGATTCCTTAAAGCATTCCTAGAAGGCTAAAACAACTCATAAAGACTTTTCAAACTTTATCTAAGATACAATAGAATTTCAAATTTAAACTCTTGAATTCAAACTTTCAGATTTAACAATAATCTTTTGAAAAATTTAGAAATTGGATTAATATATAAATTTTTTAGGGAGAGGTTATAGTTACTATATTTTTTTTTACTACTTGTTAATATCAAATCTTAACAGTTGATTTCTGCAATCTAACGATTATAATTTATTAGAATTAATAATTAATTAATAAGTGTGATCCAATATATTATAATCGTTAGATTGTAAAAAATCAACGGTTAAGATTTAGTAGTAACAAGTAATAAAAAAAAAAAAAAACTTTACCAATACCCCTGTGATTTGCTTCAGAATCATTTATGTCCCTGTGATTTTTTTTTATCATATATTCCCCTTTGGTTTGTAAAAGGGTATAGTTTTTATCACATATGCCTCTGTTCTGTCCTTGAGACAGAGATGCCTAGCCCAATTAGGCTAGTACGTTAATGTTGGATCTCGTGCCCTCTCCAAGGTATCTATGAGGGAGATACCCTTGAGTCAAGGAGATCACTGTGCACAGAATACTATAACGGCGTTAGCCAATGGGGGGTGTGTGTGCATAGTGACAGCATAACAATAAGAGAGAGAATGTTTGTACCTTTAGGGTTTGCCTTTGTATTTATAGAGGTTACCTGTAGGTAGTGTGGATGGGCCTTTGGTTCCTACGGTGAGAGTCCAGCCCTGATAGCTATGCTGTCACATTAAGATTAGTATCCTTGATTAACATCAATCCATATCTTGGATTGCCCCTTGTTGGACTTGTTACTTAATGGGCCCATTATACGGGTCCATAACAGCCTCTATGGTTTTTTATGTTTTACAAAGCACATGAGCATATGTGATAAAAAAACCACAGGAACATATGTGATTCTGAAAGAAACCATAGAGACATTGATGAACTTTTCCCTAAAAAAAATAGTAACTATAACATTTCCTTTTTTCTATTGATAAATTGTATTGATAAACACAATTTCAGTAGAAAATTATGCAATGTATATGTAGTGATAATTTTTTTTATTACAATGCAGTCATAAATTTTCAAAAAGGTAATGATGAATTTACACCATATAAAAATAATAAATTTTGCAGTCAATTTTAACTATTGATTTTATTTTTATTTATTTATTAATAAATTAAAATCGTTATATACAATAAGATAAATAACTAATAGTGAGCTTTAGTTTATCTTTTCCCTTTGATGGTATGGATATAAAAATGAATTTAAAAATAAATTATATAAATCAATTTACATTCCAAATGAAAGCGTTATATGGTAAAGTATAAAAAAGAAAAAGAAAACAAGAAGAGAAAGAAGAGAAAAGCGCTATATGGTTCGAAACAGATTTCAGGAATTTTCTACGAATAATGAGACTGCAACACAAATGCACCCACAGGAGACCGGGTGCTAACAACCCAGTGCATCATCAACGGCTATCATTCATTCATAGACAATTTCGTTTAAAAAATTTACTAGTTACTACTATTCATCATTATTCATTCCAAATAGAATCGAAGACAAAGAATACGAAATACAAGTGAATTAAGTTGAATGATTTTATTTTAGGGAAATACTACTCTCATTTTACATGAGGTAGTTATCTCATTTTCTCTCACATCGAAAATCGCACCCCTTCTTTTTTCTTTTTCTTTTTTACTTTTTAATGGTGGACCCCACTTAAACTCTCTCTATAGCATGAGATAATACTCTCATGTAACATAAGATTAATATTCCCCTTTATTTTATGTGTTCTGGCTTCATCGTCCAAAGTTGAACTTGGACTAGCTAAATGTTGGTGTTCATTACTATTTTATTAAGTCATTTTAAGTTTTTTCTCAGTATAAAAATAAATTGATGTCGTTTGCTCAAATGTCATGACATTCTTATTATTAATAATATGTCATCACATCAAATGTCCTTCAATAATTTTTTTATTATAATTATTTAATCGAAAAATAAATTAATTATTGTATGGGGTTTGCATTTGTCATTTAACATGACACAACAAATTTTTCATATCATGTCTTGTGTTTGATGAGCACCTAACTAGCAATCTGATAAGATTATGTAAAAGGAGAAAGAAATAGGAAAAAAAGAAAATATAATGCAATAAATACAAATATATTGGGTAGCGTGGGATATATTGAGTAGCGTGGGGTATATTGTTATCCTATCCTGTTGAATCCTAACCCAGTTCCCTCAATAGGATAAGAAATCATGTATTGTATTGGATAAAATGAGATAACATGATAAGCTAATCATATCTTATTCACCCATCAAACAAGAAATAAAAGTAGGATATGATAAGTTATCCTATCTTGTCTTCTTTATCAGGTGTTCCAAAAAAGCCTTGTATATAGAGTATAGAGTTAACTCAAACGTTGAAATAAAAGCAACATAACCTTCTACTACTATTCAACATTCTTCTATTTATTTTTTTAAAAAGTGAAGGGTAGACAATCAAAGACGGAAGTTTCTGTTTGAACCCTTTTTAGCCCGAGTACAGTGATACACAGCTAAGACAAATTCGGGAGAATTTATTTGGATACAGTTGTTGGAATAAGGGATGAATGGGAATGCAAGATGAGATATTTCAAAGCAAAGAAGATGAATAATTGGGACGACGTAGTGATTATGGTTGCTCCATGAAAGCGAGAAGTAAAGGGCGCAAAGTGTTTTAGGAAAAACCTAGCATAATAGTGTGTTAAGTCACTAGGATTCATCTAATGACGAAAAGTTTGATTAGTTTGTGTTACGTTATATATTCAATTCTTACTAATATAAAAAAAAAAAAGTGTTTTAAGGAAAGGGTGATGTTATAAACTAAACCATTGATGGTTTTTTAAGGATGATCTGAGATTTTATATAACTATAGTGTGGTATTACTTACTATGACACTTACTGTACATAAAGATATATGTAGATATTTTGTACTCTGTGTTTTTGGACATATTTATATTGATAAATCATATGCCATATGAGAAAATAAATTGGGCTGGGAAAATACAAACCTAAAACATATTGGGCCAGGCCTGAGCGCAGAGTAGTCTTAGTCTGAATCTGAAGTGAGCTCAATTTTGCGTTTTGGGCTTTGGCCTATGCAATGTAATTTCGTACAGAACTAAAACATTCGACGCAATTCGCTGAATGCCTAATATTTTATTTTTATTTGTATGATGAATGCCTAAATAATTGAAATCTCGTGCAGATGCCTGCTGGCAGCCCCATTCCTATTATATATTGCCATTCACACCATTCGGAAATTTGGCACTTCGTCATAACGGTTCAATTTTATTAAATTAAGCACACAATTGTTGAAAATGACTCGACAGTTGACACCAAGGTTGGTAACGTCCATGTGCATGTCATGTATATTTTAAATAGTTGTTTATTATTATTATTACTGGACACTTTTGATATTTATGCATCACTTTAGAGTTTAGACCTTATCTACTAAGAGTCGAGTTTGGACGGACTCATTTAAAAGATTAAAGCTCTCAACTTCAAAACCCTGCTTAGTAATAATCGAATCCCATATACGTAAGATAATTGTCTGCTAGAATTAGATAATTGTCCGTATACTCAATCGGTCACACAACGTTAGTCCATTCTGGGGTCTGCTTTGAATAACTTTTTAAACTGACCTTTCACCATCATAAAGTAGAAAATGAGCAGTGACAATGAAATTTGAAAACAAACATGGATATGCAAACAGCAGCACAGATTACGATATTATTATTTTTGGTAGAAGATTACAGTAATGTGGAGGGATTATTGAGGACAGCACAAGCACAAGTAACAAGCAAAAAGAAGTGGTACAAACTACAAAGCCTGTAGGGCCAATTAACAATAATAAGGAAAAAAAAGGCACTGGTTTTATTGAGCATGTTGCTGTGTGACAAAAACGCATTCCTCAGATATTAAAATTCAGACAAACTGATCCAAGAATTCGTCAGCAGTGGTGTATTTCACTTCAGGGTAAAGATCAGAAGCCTCAACGTCTTTTGCAGGGTCAATTTCATAAACTGCATCTCCCCTTATCTGCTGTGAGTGGTACAAAGCCCACAGGTAGTTTTGTGGGAAAGAAGACTCTGCAGATACCATAAATTAATTGATTGTTAATTAATTTCACAAAGTTGATGTAACATGATACTCATATCCTATTCTATAAAGTTGAAATTCTGAAGTCTTAAAATGATTTTTGTTACTGACCCTGGATGTTCTTAAGAATTTGTTCCTCTGGAACATAAGTTTTCTCAAGGTTCTTCCCAATCTTTTTCTCCCATAAAGAGACGACCTCATTTGCTGTCAGATAATTGGCAGGGAGTCTTATATGCACGGCTTTGTTCAATGTTCTAGGGTCGTTCGCTGCTTTTATGGTATAAGTTCCCACATCAGCCTCAGTAACATAGGCTCCTGAAGCAAGTAAATCACATTTAAACCTTTGAGGCAACTGAAACTGAACGCCTTTTATTTATTAATTGTGCAAAAACTGTTCGTGACTAAGGTGTTACCTTTGACATTTCCATCTCCTAGAATGGCTACCTTATCCCGAGGAGGAACAGTGGCATCTACCTGTGCCAAGTTACGTAAGAAGTAACCAGTGAAGGCATGGCAACAGAGATAAGTGTATGGAACTCCAGCAGCTTCAATTAATCTTCGGATTCTTGCTTTGTCCTCGAAAACCTGTCTAACTGGCTCAACTGCATCGTGACGGTCCACATCGAGCCCAAATTCAGATGGGAAGAATCTCTGTTGACATAAGAAATTAAGAATCGTCACTTGATATAACTATAACTACTCCAAGTCCAACCATTGAATGAATTATTGGGGTATAAAATTTTATGTCAATCTAGAAAGCATTAAGCAATTTTAGTTAGTATCACAATTCAGCAGAAAAGTTCATTTAAAGTAGCCTTATTCATTCAGTAAAAGGAACCTATGTTACAAACCTTGACATTTCCAGCTTCTTTGATTGCTTCAATGATTTTCACCTGGTCATCTATTAATAGTCTACCAGCAGCGCAGATTACAACATCAACTTGCTTGATTGCCTTAAGAAGACTTTCATGATCATTTATATCACCCTGAGAAATCAAAGACATAGAGAGAGAGAGAGAGAGAGAGCAAAAAGCATATAGATAACATCAGAACAATTAATAAGTTGGAAATTATAGTTCCAAAATTGATCAGATTGTTGTTCAGAGCACATACTTGGACGAGAATAACACCGGAATTCTTGAAGCTCTCAACGAGCTGTTCCTTGTCTTCAGGATTAGCGGCTGTGATGAGCTTTGGCTTGTTAACGGGGCCAGTGGTTTTCCTGACCAAGGCATAAGTGGGATTTCCTTCTTTAACACTAGCCCAGACTATGTGTCTTCCAATGGCTCCAGTTGGTCCGAGGATAAGGATTTTGCTTTTCTCTGCCATGGAAGATAACTCTAGTCAAAACAAGCAGTGTGTGTTTTTTCCTTCTTGTTTTTTTGGTACGTAATCAAACAGGCAGTGAGACTGTGGTGCAGAGTAATACTATGTTGCTTGGTACTTATAAGGTTCCATGGATGGCCACCAACTTATTTTTTTTAGTCCAAATATTAAACATGCATTCCGTTCTGCGACCGGCTACGCTCTCAAGTATAGACCAAAACCAGTCTTGTGGTCCCACACCCACTACTTTATTGAACCGGTTAGACTTTGTTGTAAATATTAAACAGGTATACGGTTCCGTTCAGCCACCGGCTGCGCTCTAAGTCTAAATCAAAGCCGATCTGGAGATTCCTTATTTTATTAGTCCCTCCCACTACCTTATTAAACCGATTTTGTATTATTCAGGGTTTTATGAGTATCATATTATATTACCTGATACAAGAAGTGTTATGCCATAAACATAAACAATTAGTGAGTTTCACTGGAAAAAAATACAAAAATAAAATAAATCTCGTACCTTTTTGAAATATATGACATGACATTCATAAAACTTTATCATATTATGTGTAAGGTTACTGAAAGAACTTACATTTGGTGGTATAAATAGTTTAATTTAAGTTTTTTAAGTTAAAGTTAAAAATAAATAAATTAAAAACTGTTTAGTGATTACATAAAGTTGTTACGGTAGTTTTGAAGAAAAAAAGATAAAATATTTTTTTATTATGATGATTATTAGCATAAAGAGTAAGATTTATAAATATGAGTTTATAATAAAGATAAAACTGTAAAATAAATATGAAGACTCCAAAAAACTGACATATATCTTTAAGAAAAAACTTCTTTTAGAAATTTTTAATTTTTAATATTTTTCTCATTATAAAAAAAATACTCTTTTATAATACCAGCTTTTATAAAAATATGTTTGACTAAATTTTTATTTTCAAAAGAAAAATAAAATAAAAATAAGACATACTAGGTGCATACTAAACACGTAATAAGTTAAAAGTAAAATGCTCTTTTTCTTCATTATTTATTTTTGTATGTCTTATTATTTAAAAATAAGACATATTATAAAATCTGGCCCGATCTGGCCGAGTCGACCCGGAACTCGGCGAACCGGTCATCAAACCGGTTCGGGTCAAGTATTGGACCGATCATGCATCGACTCGGTCAAATTCAATCAAAACCTGGACAAAATCGGTGACCTAGTGACTCGGTCGGGTCATGCATTTTTTTTTAAAAAAGAAAAACTAAAATTGTTTCATCTTGTCAAAAAAAATATAGAACTCATTTTAATTTTTTTTTGCAATTTGCGGAATAATAAATTAAGAGAATGTGACATATGTCATTTTTAATGTAGTTGAATTTGAAAATATGAGTTCAATGTCATTGAGATGTATGTTTATGGGGATTTGGAGTTACAATTTAAATTGATATAGTAATAGCATGCATTTTTATTTATTTATGCTTCTTATTTTTTAGTTTATTTAATGAACCTTGTTTAATTTATTTTAGAAATAGAGAATATAATTGAATTTATTTTCAAAATATATGTTCTGGTAAAATATATGCACGCAATAAATGGCTTTGAGTAGCTTTCAGTTTCAAAATATATGTTCTGGGAAAATTTATGGACCATAGTTAACACCATAATTTAAATTTAAATGACTTCGAATTTTAAATATTATTTGGATTAAAGATTTAGATTTGATAGAAAAAAATTGGTCATATTTATATATAATCCTGTCCAACTCAACAAAACTAATAGATTAATTAATAAACCGATTGAGAAATTAAAAAATAAAATAAAAATAAACCTTCAAAACACATTCAAACTAATTTGTAAAGGTAGGACCCGCCATATATATATATATATATATATATATATTGGAATTTATATTTTTTTAACTGCTGCATGTGCAACAATCAAATACTTGTCATATATATATTAGAAAGCATTAAATGCGGGGAATCATAACCATACATTTGTCGTTGTTGTACGTAAAACGGCTGCAGAAATGATTTTACCATATATATTTTGGGAAAAATATTTTTCAAACAGCTTGATATATATTTATCTCAGTCCACTCAAAAATTACGTTGTTTTGTTTATTTATTTTCTTATATTAATTAATTTACCTTTGAATGATTATGATTTTATTTTTCTCTCTTTTTCTTTATCACCATTAATCTATCTTTATACAATTATGATTTAGTAGCTAGAGATAAGTTATCTCAAACAACTTGAAAAATAATAAGCCTATCTATCTATTTATCTATATATATATATATATATATATATATATATATATATATATATATATATATATATATGAGGAAGATTATACTTACAACCTTTTTTTTACAATCTCTTACAACCACATCTTAACACCATTGATTTCTGCCAATCAACGGTTATTATTTTCGCAAATTAAATTCATTAATTAATTATTAATTCACAATAAATGATAACTGCTGATTGACGAAAATCAACGGTGTTAAGATATGATTGTAAGAGGTTGTAAAAAGAAAAGGTTGTAAGTATAACATTCTTTCTCTCTCTCTCTCTCTCTCTCTCTCTATATATATATATATATATATATATATATATATATATATATATATGGGCTTATCATTTCTGCAGCCGCCGTAGATAACACTCTCTAAAGCTGACACAGAAAAGTGGGGCCCACGGCGTTTAAAAAAAAAACAAAAAACAAGGATCCAGTGCCGTATCCTAGGATCCGGACGCGGATCCTGGCTAGCTGTAGGCTGCAGGAATCATTTTGCCTGCCCCACGACGTTTAAAAAAAAAAAAAAATCAAAAAACAAGGATCCGGTGCCGTATCCTAGGATCCGGACGCGGATCCTGGCTAGCTGTAGGCTGCAGGAATCATTTTGCCTATATATATATATATATATATATATATATATAGGGCTTATCGTTTCTCAAGCTGCTTGAGATAACGTTATCTCCGACCACTAAATCATAACCGCACAAAGATGAATTAATGGTGATAAAAGAAGAGAGAGAAAAAGAAAATCATAATCGTTCAAAGGTGAATCAATTAATATAAGAAAAAAATAAAATAAAACGACGTAGTTTTGGGGTTGCCGGAGATAAACTTGTCTCAAGCTGCCGGAGAAATATTTTTCCCATATATATATATATATAGGAAAAAATATTTCTCTGGTAACTTGAGATAAGTTTATCTCCGGCCATTCCAAAACTACGTCGTTTTGTTTATTTATTTCCTTATATTAATTGATTCACCTCTGAATGGTGTGATTCTCTTTTTCTCTCTTTTCTTTTATCACAATTGATCCATCTTTGTACGGTTATGATTTAGTAGCCGGAGATAAAATTATCTCAAGCAGCTTGAGATAATTTATCTCCGACCACTCCAAAATTACGTCGTTTTATTTATTTATTTATTTATATTAATTGATTGATTTCCTTTAATTAAGGGAAATAAAATAAAATCTTATATTTTTATTTTATATTTTATATTTTATATTTTTTTAAGCATATACAAATTAATTTAAATATTATTTTTATAACGAGAATTGATATATTACTTACAAAAAAAATTAAATTATTTTTATATCGAGAATTGATATATACACACCGCGGTTAGACTCTGGAGTGGGAGTGCTAACATTCCAGTTCATCATCAACGGCCATTCGGTGGGAATTTCGTAGAAAATTTTTTACAATTATTCTTCTCATTCCAAATACAATGGAAGACGAAAAATATAAATTCTAAGTATGTTGAATAGTTTTAGGGATAAATAAGAGTTATGTTGTAGGAAAAATAATTTGGTTATGTTAAGATAAGACAAAACCAAATTATTGAACAAAGTGTCTTATCATATTTTTTTATTATTTTTATTTTTTGTCTTTTAGTGTTGCATGACATCATGTAACATGATAAAATAAAGACCCATGGTTTTATTTCATGTAGACGTTTTCTCCTGGCTCCATGGTCCTTTAGGTAAGTGACATATTAGTATATTTAGTCCACGATTGAACTTGGACTAGCCGAATGTTTGAACACGTCATTATTTCATTAAGCCATTTTAAATTTTTGATTGTATAAAACTAAATTGATGTCGTTTTGCTCAACTGTCATTACATTTTTATTATTAAAAGCATGTTTGAATCAGACTAATTTTGAAAAAAAACAGTATTTTCTATTTTTAAAATACTATTTTAATAATTTTTTATTATAATTATTTTGAAAACAAAAAATTTAAGTAATATATGTAAGAAAATAATCATCTCATATAACAAAAATAAAATAGTGGGATTCACTTTTTTTTTTTAAATAATTGATCCCACTAATTTATCTCTATATGAGATAAATACATCTCATATATGTAATAAGAGCAGAGTTAACTCAAATCTTAAATTAGAGCACTGTCACCTTGAACTACTTTTCAACCTTCTTATTAAAAAAAAGAAAGAAAGAAAAGAATACCAAAGGTAGACATTCAAATGGAAGTTTCTATTTGCTCAGATTATATTATAGAAAAAATGTTTGTCCTTTTAAATGACACAGTTTATATTTTTTCACTCTCATAAAGAAGAGATGGGACTCATACCTTTATATTTTTTTGTCCACTCTCTCTTCTTCTTTATCTATCTCTTTCTTTCACTTATAATGACATAATTTTACATCTTTTAAAATTATACACATTTTCCTCTTATAATATATCTCCCGAATACAATGATACACAGCAAGGATAAACTAGGTAAAATTTATTAAGATTTAGTTGTCGGATAATATAATTCTCTTAATAATAAATTCTACAGCTTATATTTTGTAATTTATATGTGTCGTGTGTTTTGATAAAAAAAAATTAAATAATTCACTATATTATTTTTAATTTAAAGAAATCAATCTCACACTTAAAAAACAAAATACATTCTGTTAAATTGATGCAGAGTGTGCGGCCATTCTTAACTGCGACTTGCCGACTTTGTTGATGAACGTGCTTTGCTTGCCCACATCTCTTTGACTACGTCAAAATTGGCGTGCTTTCGTCGTTTTGTTTAAGGCCAAC